AAAAATATTTTTGAGTTCAGAGAAGAAGGAAGAGGGAGAGATAAAAGCATCAATGATGAGAGAGAATTATTGATTGGCTGCCTCATACATGCCCCACATTGAAGATCGAGCCCTCAACCCAGGCATGTGCCTTGACCAGGAATCGAACCGTGACCTCCTGGTTCATAGGTCAATGCTCAACAACTGAGCCATGCCAGCCAGGGTGGATAAACATTCTTGAACAAAGATTGCGTGGACACGTGACTAGGGGAGGGTGACTTCTACAGCTATGCTGTTTATTTTTTATTTTATTTTATTTTTTTTTTTTTTAATATATTTTATTGATTTTACACAGAGAGGAATTGAGAGGGACAGAGAGTTAGAAACGTTGATGAGAGAGAAACACCGACCAGCTGCCTCCTGCACACCCCCCACTGGGGATGAGCCCGCAACCAACGTACATGCCCTTGACCGGAATCGAACCCGGGACCTTTCAGTCCGCAGGCCGACGCTCTATCCACTGAGCCAAACCGGTCCCGGCGACAGCTATGCTGTTTAAACGTTTTGGGTTTGGGGTAATGGAAATACATTGTCCATTCAAAACAAAAGATTCAGTGGTTTGGACCTGGAGAGAGAACTAGGTTCAAATCTTGGCCCTTGAAAGCTGTGCAACTTTGGCGAAGTGTCTGAACATCTCAGATTCCCTAGTTCAAAAGGGAAAGGCGTGTCCTCCTATCCAAGGCGAATTTCAGGAGGTGAGATGGAGCATGTGCATGCTGGATGCTATAAAGGTGAGTGCTGTAAAGTGCACTTAGACTTCTTTTTCTCTCCTTAGTGAGTTTGCCCTGGGAGCAAGGGCTCACATACGCTCCCAGGCTGGGAAGACTTTGCGGTGCAGATAGGGAGGGCGTCTCTGTAGCAGCCACTTTGTTCCCTTCTGAATCCTCAACCCAGAAGCTGAGTCATCTCTGCCCAAGCCTCTGAGGCTCCTGCCCTGGGGCTGACCCCGTGACCTGAATGTGACCAAAGACTGGCAGAGAAGGTCATGATCAGCTGACGGTGTGATGGGGCCAGTCCGTAGACAGGCACAGAGGCCTCTCTTGGGGTGTCCACATACTTAGCCCCAATGTCACTGGGCTCATCTAGGAAGAATCAGGCACGCCCCAGGTTATAGTGCATTTTCAGGCTCCTCCCCAGTCTGGGTCACCCATTCCTTGCTCTCTTTGTCTGGATGATCTTGGTCCCCTCAGCCTCTGGCCTCTGCCCCAGGAAGCCTTGCCTGAGGGGATTGGCCCCTTCTCTGAGCTCTTTCAGCTTCTGTGCTTCTCCCAGGATAGCACTGATCACCCAGTATTCAAGTTAAATGGTTAAAAGAATCATATTAGGTTAAAAGTTACAAACTTTTGCCGAAACCGGTTTAGCTTAGTGGATAGAGTGTCAGCCTGTGGACTGAAGGGTCCCGGGTTCGATTCTGGTCAAGGGCATGTACCTTGGTTGCGGGCACATCCCCAGTAGGGATGTGCAAGAGGCAGCTGATCGATCTCTCTCTCATTGATGTTTCTAACTCTCTATCTCTCTCCCTTCCTCTCTGTAAAAAAAATCAATAAAATATATTTATATAAAAAAAAATAAAAGTTACAAACTTCCAGTTATAAAATAAACTAGAGGCTGGTGCACAAATTCTGCACGGGTGGGGTTCCTAGGCCTGGCCGGTGATGAGGGCAGTCTCACCCAGCCCCTGTTGGGGCCTCTAGTGTACATATGTCTCTGTGTGTTGTAATACATCTCTACAGGTATATGAATTATATATTTCTATACATACATGTATTTTGTTTCTGTGTGTGTTAGATATTCACCAACGTATAAATGTATACATTATACATGTCTCTCTCAATAAATGTCTTATATATCATTATATTTTGTGGTGTATGTTACAGATGCATACTAGTATATGCTGATACATGTTTCATTTTCAAGATAGAGAGATTGAGAGAATAATAAAGTGACTAGAACAGTTAACAATTAGTGAATTTCCACGAAGAGTATACAAGTGGTCTTTATACTCTTGTTGCAAAATTTCTGTAAGTTGAAATTATTGCAAAATTTCTAATTACTCACACAAAAGGAAAGAAATCACAGGGTTACGTGTTCTGTCTTCCTCCCCAGGGCAAACTTTTCCACAAAGAAAGTGCAAGGACTTTCCAAGCCCCTACAAAATGTTTGAGGCTTGAAAACAATGCATATCTTCTCACAAATTGGGAAATAACAAATAGTCTGCATTATTAAAGTTAATAAATGTTTAATTAAATGTTTACAAAATGTCAATTGAGCCCTGGCCTGTGTTGCTCAGTTGTTAGCAACACAGGCCAGGGCTCAATTGACATTTTGTAAACATTTAATTAAACATGTACCAAAGTGTGGAGGGTTCCATTCCTGGCTAGGGGCTCTTACCTGGGTTGTAGGTTCGCTCCCCACCCTGAGGAAGGAACCAGTTGATGTAGCTTTCTCCCATGGTTGCTGTCCCCTCTCTTTCTCTCTCTCTCCCTATCTCCCTCCCTTCCACTCTCTGAAGAAGCAATGGAAAAAATATCCTCAGGTGAGGACTGAAAAAAAAAAAAAAAGTCATGACATCAATCTCACTGAACTCTATGTAGATAGGGCCCTGGACTCCCCAGTTCTTGAGGAGAAGACTGTGTTTACCTGCCGATGGCTGTACCCCTAGTGTATGGTACACAGCAGATGTATAGGTAACATTTTCAGAATGAACTTAGTGAGTGTGCTGGGCTGACCCCCAGGGCTGGGATATCCTTGAGGAAAATGACAGGAGGATATCCTGATCTGCATTGAGTGCCTGGTGAAATAGAGACATTCACTCCGGTGTTTGCAGGGTGTGTGTCAAGAGTGCAAATGAAGGTCCACGTATTATGTCTTAACTATTTGGAGTTCTACATTACGCTAGCTGTGATAAGCTGCTCACTCATGATTCATGCCAACTGGTATCCACATTCTTCTGTAGCTTTGGCCATTGGGATGTTAGCTAATGTGAGGCAAGCAGAGGTTGAATACATCTTGGTTATTGGGTCTCATCCTATTGGAGCTACCGTCACCATGGGAGAAACTCAGGTGATCCTGATGGAGAGGCTAGTCACCAGACACTAAGTGTCCACCTTGGAATATCTACTCCAAGTCGAGTTCCAGGTGACTGTAGTTGCATGAGTGACCCATGGATAGAGCTTCTGCCTGAAGACTCAAAAGTCCTGGGTTCGATTCAGGTCAAGGGCATGTACCTTGGTTAAAGGGACATCCCCAGTAGAGAGTGTGCAGGAGGCAGCTGATTCATGTTTTCTCTCATTGATGTTTCTAACTATCCCTCTCCCTTCCTCTCTGTAAAAAATGAATAAAAGATATTTTAAAAAATGGATCATGAAAAGGTCATCAGGTTGGGAAAGTAACTGATCATTTATCTCAGCGCAGGGAGCCAGGGATGAAAGAACACACCTGGGATAGCAGTGTCACCCACTCAGACGGAGCATGGGCTTCGGCGTGGACAGGCTGGCTGCCAGGCAGATGGTACCGTCCAGGTCTATTCCTGGTGGAGATTTTCCTCCCTGCCCTTCCCATCTGCCTGGCACGGCTGCCGAGATCTGTGATCCTGACATCTGGGCAGGCCCCTGTGAGTGCAGACCTGCACATCAGGCCCCAGGCACGCAGTTTCGGATTACAGAGCTGACCTGGCTCTGGACCCTGCTGAGTCAACGCTGTGCTTGCCAGAGCTTGGAACTAACCAGCCCCGGGTTCTTCCTGGCAGATGGACTTTCTGTGCCAGCCTCTTTCCTGACGGGTAGAGGGCAGTTGGTAGGGGATGGAGGGTAGGGGGGGACGTTAGTGAAAGTTTGCTGAATAAATGTTTGCCCGTGGAATGGCAGCCGCTCTCAGCTCTCCCTTTGTCCCAGCCTTGCTCATTCCCCAGCCTCAGAGTATCAGGGTCTCTCTACCACCATCCTGGGAGCTCCATTTAGGAGAGTAGATGACTGCCCAATGAATGAATGAATGAATGAATGAATGGGTTGGCCTTCCAAGTATCCCCTCTTTCTGTTCCGAGGTTTCTGTTTTGATGCAGGCAAGACTCAGACACCGCAGACCCTGAGGGTAGAGAGTGTGGGAAGGGAGACCCTGAGCTGGAGACTTAACGGAACAGACACTGGCCTTGCCAACAGCGCACGAGGTCGAGGGGAAGGGCGATGATGAGGGACGTTAAAGAACCCACAGACACCTCTGCTATGACGAATCCTGGAGCGGGAAGGAGCGTGGGAGCTTGCAGACGTCTAGGTGGTAGTGTGTGTGTGTGTGTGGGGGGGGGGGGGGAAGGACAGCCTGGTCTTGGGAAGCTCTCCTGGAAACATCCCGGGCTCCCCTCCCGGTCCTGCGGGACTCAGCACATCAGGGCCTTTCACACGCCTCCTCCCCGCCCTCTCCCCAGCTTTTGACTTGAGGAGGGCACGAGGAATGCCAGCCGCCCGGTCGGGTACAGTGGCCGGCGGGGGGGGGGGGGCGGGGAGGTGACTAGGAATTTCGGTGCAGGAAAGAGGATTACGGTAAGGGGGACAGTCACGTCTCCCACGGCCAGTCTGCAGAGAAGCCTCGTCAGAGCCAGGCGGGGAGGAGCCTGAGTTTTGCAATCTTAGAGCGCCCTGCACCCCGCATACTAACCACACGGCTGGGAATGCACAGAGCCCCACCCCGATGGCTCACCCCGCCCCCGGCACGTGCGCTCCGCCTGGGAGCCGCCCCGCCCCCTCTCGCACCCGCCCTATAAAAAGGGCGTCGCGGGAACACGCCGTGCGAAGGGCGGGAGGCTCGGACCCGATCCTTGATCATCGGGGCTTCTGCAGCCACGCAAGCCTCCGCCGGGGTCGGCGCGTGTTTGGAACCCGCGTCGGTCCGCGGAGAGCCCTGCCTGCGCCCCGCGTGCCGCGCCCCCCTGTCTGCGCCCCGCGAGCCGCGCCCAGCCGCCGGGGAAGATGCGCTGCGCGCCCGCGGCCGGGGCCGCCCTGGTGCTGTGCGCCGCCGCCGGGCTGCTGAGCGCGCAGGGCCGCCCCGCGCCCGCCGAGCCGCCGCCCCGCTACGCGTCCTGGGACGAGGTGAACGTGCTGGCCCACGGGCTCCTGCAGCTCGGCCACGGGCTGCGGGAGCACGCGGAGCGCACCCGCGGGCAGCTGGGCGCGCTGGAGCGGCGTCTGAGCGCATGCGGCGCCGCCTGCGGGGACCCGGGCACCGCCACCCCGGCCCCACTCGGCCCCGCAGGTCCCGGCTCCCCGGGCGAGGCCGTTCCGGAGACCCTCCGCACCCTGCAGGTACGTGCTCCCCAGGGGCTGCCCGCACTGTCTGGGAGGGTGTGGACGGAAGGGGTGCGCTTCCAGGGCTCCTGGAGCCATCCTGCGCAGGAGTCCAAGGATGGAGCGCTGGGAGGAGAGAGGAGCGGATGAATGGAGAGGCAGAAGGCCAGGCCCTCACCAGGCTTTTCACCCTCTCTCCAGACCCAGCTCAAGGCTCAGAACAGCAGGATCGAGCTGCTCTTCCAAAAGGTGGCCAAGCAGCAGCGCCACCTGGAGAAGCAGCACATGAGGATCCAGAACCTGCAGAGCCAGGTAGGTACCAGATTGCTCGCACCGCGAGGGCGGAGAGGTCCAAGCTGAACCCGTGAGGCTGGACGTGAGCCCGGCATAGCTGACATTCTCTTCCCGTCCCCGCCCAGGTGGGCCTCCTGGCCCCCACGCACCTGGGCCGCGCGGTGGCCAAGCCTGCCCGGAGGAAGAGGCTGCCCACGATGCCCCAGCCTGCTGGCTCCGCTCACAACGCAACCCACCCACACAGTGAGTGTCCAGCCCTCGGCCGTCCTCTGGCAGCTCCCGCCTCCACACACAGACAGGGACACCTGCTGTTCCTGCACCCCTCCTGGTCATGTCCATCTTCCTGGAGGAGAGAGGTCTTGGCCCTGGGTCCCTCTGGGCTCTGGTGAAGGGCTAATGGGGCACCTTCTCCAGCTCTGCCCCTGACTGCCCCACCCTTCTTCCCATGGGCCAGGGGGTTTTCCCCAAAGCCTTGCTGGCTATTAATAGAGCAAGATTGGGAAAGAGGGTCCAAGTCCAAAAGGAACTTGAGCTGCAGGAGTGTGGGGTAGGGGGTGGTGCAGTGCAGGGACACCTCCAGGTAGGCTGGAACTTTCTAGGAGGGCACCGTGGTGGACAAGGGGGTGCCAGCTGGGGAGTCTGGAGTCCTTGTTGGCCGAACAGCAAACCCCTGCCTGTGAGAAGGGTTCTAAGGTTGGGAATGTGGATCTAGGAGGTAGAGCAAGGGCAGGGGGCCTATCTCCCCGGCCAGACACATCCACTCTTGCATCTCTGACAAACCCAGGGCTGCAGGTCTGAGCACCTGGTCCCTGCCCCCATTCTTGGCCCCAAAGTACCTGATCACCCCCATTTCCCGTTCCCCTGCTTCCACAGAGAGCTAGCCATTGCCACCATCTGCAGTTCTGTTTGAATGTATGCCTGAAATTGCCCAAATTCCCCACCACATGTCCGTGTGTGTCAACACAGGCTCTCAGCTTCCTGTCTCTGCCCCACCTTAAGTTCATGGCCCCAGAGCCAGCCAACTTCCCTCTAGTCCTCCTACCCCATCACCCGGCCTGGCATCTGTGCTGCCTATTGCCAACTGGGTGAAAGTTCAGATTCTCCCCCTTCACACCCTCAGACTGATTGCTGGCTTCCAGCCCTCTCTGAGGGCTTCCCCCCTCCCGCGCCCTGCCACACACACACACACACACACACACACACACACACACACGGCTCCCTGCCCCCACTCCTATCAGAAAGGCTCCAGTACACCCTCCCCAACTTCTGTCCTGGGATGAGGGGCTTCTGGGATGGACCAGTAGGTATAGGTCCAGGCTGAGGGATGTGGAGGGGATGGAGGGGGGAACTCATGGGTTTGGGAACTCCCAGGCTCCAGCTCAGTCCTGCCAAGTAGGGGAAAGTTCAGAGCTGGAGAGAGAAACAGCCGGTGCTAATGGAAGCCACATTGGTGGTTTGGCCAGGTGCCTGTCCTGATTGGAAGAAAGGAAAGTAGGGGAAAGGGGAGCTGCCCCAGGGGCCAGAAAGTGTCTGCAGTCACTCTGGGCTGGCCCCACCCTGGCAACAATAGGACACATTCACCCCTTGTCCTGGGCCTTCACTCCCCCTTTCCCTCCAGCGACCTTTCCCCTACTTTCTTTGCTGGGCTGGGGGCGGGACTTCCCACCAACAGAGGCCATCCCTCCTTCCTCACTTCCTTCCTCCCTCCCCTTCTCACTCTCTGCCTTCCTGCCTGCCTCCCTCTCTCTCTCCCTCTCTCCCTCTCTCCCTCTCTCACTCCTCAGTCATTCAACTCCCCCTGTGGGACCCTTGGCCGGGTCCCTGTCCCAGCAAGTCCCATCCAGACCTGATCCGAATCCCCACTAGACAAAGCAAAGCCTGTCCAGCTCAGCTCAGCTTTTGCCTCCTCTGCCCAGCCCCCCATTCAGCTCCTGCAAATATTCGTTATCAATCATTCAATCATTGTGTCTTTATTAAACACCTGCTGTGGACTAGGAGCAGCCTGGCACTGGTGCCAGCCTGGGCCAAGAACGTTCCCTAACCCTAGCCTCATGGAGGCCTCATTCAGGGGATGGAGTCGGGGAGAGGACACCAGATGACCCCAGTATTTCGAGTGGGAAGTCCTTGATGCTCCTTTCTGGGAGTCTGGTCTGGTCTGGGGGGTCAGAGATTTCTTCCAGAACCTGGAGCCCTTACATAAAAAGGCATGAGGGAAGAGCATGCTAGGCAGAGGGACCAGCATGTACAAAGGACCTGTGGCAGGAAGGTGTGTGGGACTGGAAGGCTGTGTGGCCAGAAGGTGGGCTTGCAGTGTGGGAAGAGGGAGGGCGGGGGCAGAGGCAGTCCTGGAGCATCTTGTGAACAGTATTAAGGAAGGTCAGAGGGAGCCATGGAAGACTTTAAAAAGTGAAGGGGAGGGTGTCCTGAACTAGGGATTGTCCTCTAATATCCCTGTTGCCCACTGCCCAGATTCTACACACACCTGTTTCCTGGGACCCACAGGACTGCTCTCTGATTCAGTCTCCCTGTCCTTCTCCTTGCCCTCTAGGGCTGCCCAGGGACTGCCAAGAGCTGTTTGAAGAGGGAGAACGGCAAAGCGGACTATTCCAGATCCAGCCTCAGGGGTCCCTGCCTTTCCTGGTTAACTGCAAGATGACCTCAGGTAGGATGAGTTAGCCCATTAGGGAACTGTTGTCATTCTGTCAAATGCAGCCCACCTCCCACTCCCTCTTCCCCTGCTGAGTCCTGGGGACAAAGACCTGGGCTGAGCCTCCCTCCTGCTGCCAGTCTACAGTATTCCTTCCTTTGACCACCTTCCTCCAGTCCCTCTGGGATGAATGAGGGAAGCATTGCTGTCCCTGGGTTTGGAGAGGGCTTGGGGGTTTGGAGCCAGATGGAGTTGGAGTCCCCTATGAGAAGGGTGAGTAGTGACCTTGTACCTGTCTGGGCAGATGGAGGCTGGACCGTAATTCAGAGGCGCCAGGATGGCTCCGTGGACTTCAATCAGCCCTGGGAAGCCTATAAGACTGGCTTTGGAGACCCCCAAGGTGGGTGTTCCCAGAAGCCAGAGGCGCAGGGAGAGGGGGCAGTGGCGGCGGGTCCCTGTCTCACTGATGACTGCTCTCACTGCAGGAGAGTTCTGGCTGGGCCTAGAGAAGATGCACCTGATCCTGGGGGACCACGGCAGCCACCTGGCTGTGCAGCTGCAGGACTGGGAAGGCAATGCCAAGTCACTGCAGTTCCCCATCCGCCTGGGTGGTGAGGACACAGCCTACAGCCTGCAGCTAACAGCACCCATGGCCAGCGAGCTGGGTGCCACCACTACGACACCCAGCAGCCTCTCCCTTCCCTTCTCCACTTGGGACCAGGACCACGACCTCCAGGGGGACAAGAACTGTGCGAAGAGCCTCTCTGGTGAGTCAGCTCTGTCCCTCCTGGTCCTGCCTGCCAGGCCCCCCTCCCTGCCTTTCTGCTTCCCTGCCCTGCCTTCAGCACAATTCCATCCGCTACCCTCTTTTCCTTACTTGCTGTGTGACTTAACCTCTCCCATCTGCAGTTGCCCCACTTTTAAAATTATTATGAATATTCAATGAGACGACATTGTGGCAAAGCCACCAAGATAAACTCATTTCATAAAAATGAAATCTAAGGCAGAGTCCAGGCCTTGTGAAGTGAAACATATCAAACTCCCTTTCGGTGAGTCACAAAATGTGTGGCTCAGTTGGTTGGAGTGGCATCCCATGCACTGAAAGGTTGTGGGTTTGATTCCCAGTCAGGGCACCTACCCAGGTTGTAGGATCAATCCCAGGTTGGGTTGAATAAGGGAGGCAACCCATCCATGTTCCTTTCTCTGAAATCAATATAAACATATCCTCAGGTGAAGATTTAAAAATGATAAAAGCCTGGCAAGTGTTGCTCAGTGGTTGAGCATGGACCAAGCATGACCCATGGACCAAGACAGGGCACATGCCCAAGTTGTGGGCTTATCTTGGGGGTATGCAAGTGTCAGTCAATTGATGTCTCTCCCATCGATGTTTCTCTCCCTCTTCTTTCTTCTCTCTCTAAAAAAAAAAAAAAAGTCAATTAAAAAACATTTAAAAGGGTGACTTTAAAAAAATACATCATAAAGCGATGGAATACTGGTGATATTTTGTTCTTCCAATATAATAGGAATTGATGAGACAGATGCCGATCGTAGAAAGTCTTTAATGAATGTCAGGGGTCAGGGAAGTGACTTGCCATGGTCACAGATGTGAAGGCTACGGTTATTGGGTTGGTGTCCCAGAGTCCCTGAGGCTCCTCTCTTACAACCTGAGGTTCTTCAGGACCCAATTTGACAACCGCTGCCAACGCCCTCCCATCTAAAGTGTGCCAGTCAGTGCCTAGCCTCACGGCTACCCCCGCCCCGGTGGGTAGGCCCCGCCTAACCGTGTCCCCTTTTGTTCCGACAGGAGGCTGGTGGTTTGGTAACTGCAGCCACTCGAACCTCAATGGCCAGTATTTCCACTCCATTCCTCGGCAGCGGCAGCAGCGTAAGAGGGGAATCTTCTGGAAGACGTGGCGGGGCCGATACTACCCGCTGCAGGCCACCACCATGCTGATCCAGCCCAGAGTGGATGAAGCAGCCTCGTAGCCTCCTCGATGGGGCCTGGTCCCAGGCTCCTAGAGGACAGTGACTATGACTCTGGCCCGGAACGTGGCCACACTCTGCCTGGCCAGGGGCTCTGGGCAGGGGCCCTTGGAGCGATGTGGACAGAGAAGCAGCCTACGACTGAAGAGGCCCCCTTTCTCGGTAGGGTGGCTACAGGTGACATACCCTCTGAGGACAGAACACAGGGCGCAGACCACAGACGTGTGGGACCAACAGACATTGAGGCCTGCTCCTTGCCTACCCAGGGAATGGGAGGTGCGAAGGGACCACTCGGGGGCAACCGGGAGCCTCAATGGTAGATTCAGTCATGTTGACTGGCCAGGGGACGAGGGCACCCTCACGGTGCTGTTTTATGTGGGTGCTGTGGGACAGGCCCATGCTATTGGTGTCTGGGCGGGCGGAGCCCACAGAATTCTTGAAATAAAAGCAGCTTCAGAAATTTCATTCTTCTTTGACCTTAAGTTTGTTAAAAGTGACAGTTTCAAAATCCAGGTAAACATGCTCTCAAGGTGGAGGTGAACACTAGCTGGCCGGTTAAGGACAAAACTCCCGACCACCTCTAACAACTGATGTAATTTCCTTCATTTATTATTTTATGATGTGTATGTTATTTTTATCTTCAAAATTAGAAAACAAAGCCCTATTCATTCCTTCTGGAAGCAGGTAATAGAGAAAATTAGAACACCCTCCTGATCATATTTATAAATGTGAATCACCATTAACCTCTCAGTGTCCCACCAACTGATAAAAATTTTTTTTGAAAAGTAAAAACAGCCGGGACCGGTTTGGCTCAGTGGATAGAGCATCGGCCTGCAGACTGAAAGGTCACGGGTTCGATTCCGGTCAAGGGCATGTACCTTGGTTGCAGGCACATCCCCAGTGGGGGGTGTGCAGAGACAGCTGGTCAGTGTTTCTCTCTCATGGATGTTTCTAACTCTCTGCCCCTCTCAATTCCTTTCTGTAAAATCAATAAAATATATTAAAAATAAAATAAAATTTTAAAAAAAGAAAGAAAAAAAAAAGAAAAGTAAAAACAGGTGAAATGAATTTTACAAATATATTTTATTGAATCCAATATGTCAAAAATACTATTTCAATATGTGATCAACATAAAAGTTATTAATGAAATATTTGACATTGCTTTTATATACTAAACTAGAGGCCCGATGCATGAAATTCATGCAAAGGGCTTGGCCCTTGCAGCTGCAGTGGCTTGCCTCAGCCCTCACAGCCCTAGTTTCCTCCAGAAGGTCATCTGGAAGGACCTCCGGAAGGTCGTTTGTCCATCCGGTCTAATTAGCATATTATTTTATTATTATAGATATTTGGATTCTGGTGTGTATTTTATACATTTATGGCACATCTGAATTTGGACCAACCATATTTTAAGGACTCAACCATATTTTAAGTCACAGAGGTCAATGGCCACCATATTTGGACAGCACAGCTCTAATGTGTAATACATTAATTCAGTGTTTGGGGTAAATTCACATTTTTTTGGTCACTTCTGTATGTTTTCCTTTAAGTTGGCTTTAAAAAAAAGCATATATAAATTCAACTAGTATTGACCAAGCACCTGCTACATGCGAAAACCTTGAACTAAGTGCTTGGGATACTGTAGTGAAAGAAGAGACCCTGCTAGTACCAAGCCCATCCCATTACACACCTATAACTGATGGTCCAAACTGAGACAATTTTTGAAAGTGAAAGGGGGTATGCTGTTAATAATTAAGCCAAATGACAAACAAAGCAGCTCACTCACTCCCAGGCATATCAGGATATATTGACTCCATTTTTATTTATTTTTAAACAATTGTTTAGCTGGCTGGTGTGGCTCAGTAGTTGAGGTCAACCTATGAACCAGGAGGTCACAGTTTGATTCCAGTGTAGGGCACATCCCCGGGAGGGGGGGAGGGGAGAAGAGAGAGGAAGAGGAGGAGGAGAGCCTGCAGGAGGCAGCTGGTCAATGATTCTCTTTCATCATTGATGTTTCTATCTCCCTTTCCATTTCTTTCTGAAATCAATAAAAAAATCTTTAAAAATAAATGTTTATTTTTAAAATTATTGATTGATTCATTTTTAGAAAGAATGGAAGAGAAATGTTGATTTGTTATTCCACTTATTTATGTACTTAACTAGAGGCCCGCTGTATAAACTTCATGCACGGGGGAAGAGGGAGTTGTCTCTCAGCCTGGCCTACACCCTCTCTAATCCGGGACCCCTCAGGGGATGTCCAACTACTGGTTTAGGTCTGATCCAACCGGCAGTCAGACATCCCTCTCATAATCAGAGACCACTGGCTCCTAACCACTGACTTGCCTGCCTTCCCGATCACCCCTAACCCCTCTGCCTGATTGCCCCTAACTGCCTCTTCTTCGGCCCCCACCAGCATGGCTTTGTCCAGAAGAAGGACTGGATGACCCGAAGATGTTCGGTCAACCCAGTCTAATTAGCATATTACCCTTTTATTAGTATAGGTTGGTTGATTATTTATTTTTATTTTTTAAATAAATTTTTATTGTTCATATTATTACAAATATTCCTCCCCCCCACCCCATTGCTCTCCTCCACCAGGTTCCCACCACAACCTCTGCCCTTTTCCCACCCCCCATTGTCCTCATCCATATGTGCACAGTTTTTGTTCAGTCTCTTCCCATATCCCTCTCTCCCCTTTTCCCCAAGAATCGTTAGTTCACTCCCTTTCCATAACTCTGATTCTATTATATTTAACAGTTAATATTGTTCATCAGATTTTTTTTAATTTCCTTGGATTTTAGATTCACTTGTTGATAGTTACGTATTTGTTGTTCATAATTTTTATCTTTATTTACTTTCTCTTCCGAAAGAACCCCCTTCAGCAATTCATATAATTCTGGTTTGGTGGTGATGAACTTGTTTAGCTTTTTTTTTTATTAGTGAAGGTCTTTATCTGACCTTCGATTCTGAGTGATAGTTTTGCTGGGTAGATTATCTTTGGCTGTAGGTTCTTACTATTCATCACCTTGAATATTTCTTGCCATTCCCATCTGGCCTGCATGGTTTCTGTTGAGAAATCAGCTGACAATCGTATAGGTGCTCCTTTATAGGTAACTACCTTCTTTGCTCTTGCTACTTTTAAAATTCTCTCTTTGTCTTTTGCTCTTGGAATTTTAATTATGATTTGTCTTGGTTTGGTCCTCTTTGGATTCCTTTTGTTTGGAGTTCTGTGCGCTTCCTGGACTTATAAGTCTAATTCTTTCACCAGGTGGGGGAAGTTTTCTGTCACTATTTCTTTCAGTATGTTTTCAATATCTTGCTCTCTCTCATCTTCTGGGACCCCCATAATTCTGATGTTGGTTTGCTTAAAGTTGTCCCAGAGGTTTCTTACATTATCTTCAATTTTCTGGATTCTCTTACCTTCTTGCTTCTGCGGAGGACTGTCTTCTGGCTCTTTATGTTCCAAATCTTTGACTTGATTCTTGCGATCTTCCATTCTGTTTTTAGGACTTTGTATAATATTTTTTATTTCAGACAATGTATTCTTTTTTTTTTTTAATATATTTTATTGATTTTGTACAGAGAGGAAGGGAGAGAGATACAGAGTTAGAAACATCGATGAGAGAGAGAGTCATCGATCAGCTGCCTCTTGCACACCCTCTACTGGGGATATGCCTGCAACCAAGGTACATGCTCTTGACTGGAATCGAACCCGGGTCCCTTCAGTCCCCAAGCCGACGCTCTATCCATTGAGCCAAACCGGTCCCGGCCAGACAATGTATTCTTTATTTCTTGATGATCCCTTATCATTTCTCGTTGATTCCTTATTAATTCTAGTTGATCCCTTTTCATATCCTCATAGGTCTTATCGACCTTTTCTAGGAAATTCTTGAAAAACCTTATAAGCGTATCTTTGAACTCTATATCCAGTTGCTTTTTTTCCTCCATTTCTTTTGTTTGTGATCTATTTTCTTGGCACTTTCGCAGCTTCCCTGATGGGGCAAGGTTTCAGGGTGGAGCCTACAACTTTGGCTTCCGTCAGCCCCGCCCTATGCAGCTTCTGGGTCTCAGGGTCCTTCAGTACTCACTGCAAGCACCTCTGAGAGAAAGGTGCCCTCGATTTTCCCCTGCTACCAAACAGTCTAGGCTCTCCCCCAATGAGCCCAGTTGGAAGTGGGATTGGAGGTGGCGTTCAGAGCAGTCTGGAGCTCCTGTCTCCTTCCCGCCAGGGCAATCCCGCGGCACAACCAACCGTCCCTTCTCTGCATGCAATGTGCGGGCCTCTGGGACCTCCTTTTTTTAAAAAAAAATATATTTTATTGATTTTGTACAGAGAGGAAGGGAGAGAGATAGAGAGTCAGAAACATCGATGAGAGAGAGTCATCAATCAGCTGCCTCTTGCACACCCTCCACTGGGGATGTGCCCGCAACCAAGGTACATGCCTTGACCGGAATCGAACCTGGGACCTTTCAGTCCCCAAGCTGACGCTCTATCCATTGAGCCAAACCGGTCCCGGCTGGGACCTCCTTTCGCCGCTCCCCCGGGGTTCTGCCTTACAGCCCAGCTCCCTCTGTTTGAGCCTGGGTCCCCGGGGTCTGGCCTAGAACTGGGGTTCAGAGCAGTTGGAACTGGGGCCCAGCACAGTTGGAGCTTTTATCTCCTTCCTGCTAGGGAACGCCAGCCAAGCAATCAGCGGCCCCTTCTCTCTGGCTCACCGTGTGTCTCTGAACCTTAGGCTTTTACAGCTTCTCTGCTCTTCCTTCTGGTTTTCTCCTTGCTTCTCGTTGTAGAATTTCCAGTCAGTCGACTTTCCTGTAGTTCTGGGTAATGTCCATTTTATATTTTAGTTGTATTTATTGAAATTTTTGTGTGCGGCTGCAGCTAGATGTTTACCTGTGCAGCCATCTTGGATTCTCTCGGTTGGTTGATTTTTAAAATAAATTTTTATTTTTATTTTGTGTATTTTATTTTTTGTTTTTGTGGTGACTATTTATTGGTTAAACTT